TGAGCTTACATATTGATACAACAACCACAAAGCAGAGAGAGTGAGCTAATTGGGAATGGCGTGGACTTTTGAAACCTCAACCTCTATCCCCCAGTGACATACCTTCTCCCACAAGGCCATACATCCTAGTCCTCCCCAAATAGTTGTAACAACGGGGTCAAACATTCACATATATGAGCCTATGGGAGCCATTCTCATTCAAACAATCATAGGGAGTGACTGTTCTTTCTTCTTTCCTTCAGTTTTGCTAAGGTGAGCATTTATGATAAGGTGACTGCCTTAGTTAGGGTTTCCATTGTTATGAAGAGACACCATGACCACAACAACTCTTATAATGGAAAACATTTAATTTGGGCTGGCTTACAATTTCAAAGTTTAGTGCATTATCATCACAGCAGGACATGGAAGCATGGAGGCAGACATGGTGTTGGAGAAGTAGCTCAGAGTTCTACATCTTTATCCTTGGGCATAAGTTAGAGTTGTCTAGGACATTTAGATGTCCAATGGGGAGCTTTGATCTGAAAGTATGTCTGTAAATGTTAAATGATGGGAGATGTCATTCTGTAAATATGTTTATTGTATTGATTAATGAATAAAGCACTGTTGGCCGATAGTAAAGCAAGATGGGCAGGACTAGGAGACAAGGAGAAGAAAGGAGGAGTTAGGAGGTCCTGACCCTCTCTCCAGTAAGATAAGACTACATGGGAACATTTAGATTAATATAAATGGGTTAATATTTAAGACAGAGCTAGCCGATAAGAAACTAGTAACTGGCCAACAACATTGTATCTAATGCTGTGTCTCTGAGTGTTATTTGGGACTTATACAGCTGTGGGATCAGGCTGGCAGGAAAACCTGCTTGTAACAGTTAAACCCTTTCATCCCTCCCCCCCCCCCAAATCATGACATCTTTGCACACGAGTCTTAAAAATGAATGAAAGGGAAAAGGCAAAGGGAATTCAATGTCCATTAGTAATTCCTTCTATCATTAGTTATCCTTGTTTGTAAATTTTTAATCAGGGTAATGTGTGGGACTGGTGGGGGCTGAAGGAGTGGAAGCAGGGAAAGGGAAGGAAGCACCTGAATAGTTTAAGAGAAAAATGAACAGAAAGAAGGCCAGGTTCTGAATCTTGCATCCAGGATCTGTGTTTGCATGTGTGGGCTTTCCCTCCCCACACTGTCCTGCTCCAAAATGCTTTCAAACACCATCTATTGTCTCAAAGAGAAGCCATGCCTAGCAAAACCAACCCTAAGCTTAAATAACTGTACTGATTGGTCTTGATTTATTTCTGTAGCTATTATTTGCTCAGGTCAGCAAGCAGCTTTCCTCAGCCTCCAGACCTGCTCAGTTCCTCAGCCGCATGTGACACAATATAGCAGTGTAATGATGACTAAGACACCCAAACAAATCAAGTCCTCAGATGACAGACAGTACATACCCCATTACAGCACCCAGCTGAGATTTAATTCCATATGTAATTTCAAACTTTCTTGTACCATCAATTCAAAAGAATCTACAAGAGACTCAAGATGAGATCATTGGCTCAGAGTTTACAGAACAGTGCTTCTGTCATAGGTCTCCTTTGCAGGCCTTCTCCTTCCCACATTTGCTTCTATCCTATCCCTACCTCCATCATCAGTTTTTCCAACCTCAGCACTACTCGCTTTGAGACCTCAATAATTGTTTAGGGGACTGTTCTGTGCATTTCAAAATGTTTTACAGTATCCCTGCTCAATACCCAGAAATGCTAGTAGTAAGTACTCTCTCTATCTGTCTCTCTCTATGTCTGTCTGTCTCTCCCCCCTCATCTATTGCTTTCTCTCTCACACAAAAATTATCAACAATAACGTTGTCAAGTGTCCTCTGGAAGCAAAATAACCAGCAGTTGAGAATCAATAAGCTAATGTGTGTCCATAAGTGACATACATCAACAATAAGAACACAAAACAATATACTTCTTAAATTTTGCCAATCAAAATTAATTGTATTTTTTTTTATATAAAGGCCAAACGCCAATTCCATCTTCAACTGTAGGAATAGAACCCAGTAGGAAGAGAAAAAGATTATATGGTATGCTTATATTATATGCTATATTATATGTACCAGGATCCTCATGTATCTTTCATGACTGCATTTTTTGTTCACATCAAGAGAATACCACACATGCTAAATCAAGTCTTTGTTGAAGTCACATCATTCTAAGAAGCTAGCTCTAAATTTATCCTCAAATTTTCAAAAATGAGCCAAGCATACTTCTAAAGCTGTTTTATACAAACACTGCTCTATTAGTTACTTTTCTGGTTGCTATGACAAAATACTCTGGCCAAAAAAAGGAATTTAAGAAAAGAAGGTTGTATTTTGACTCACTGTATGAAGATATGTAGTTGACTATTTTACTCTTCTAACTCTTTGACTCTTTGGGTGCCCACCACCCAGCTCCCAAACCAACTACATTTTTTTATGAATGCCTGGCCTTAGCTTGGCCTGTTTCTAGCCAGCTTTACTTAAATTATCCTGTCTACCTTTCATCTCTGGGATTTTACTTTCCCTATTTTTGAATACTATATTTTTTTCTAGCTCTTTCTCTATGGCTTGCTATGTAGCTGGGTGGCTGGACCCTGGAGTCCTAATACTTTTCTTCCCAGATTTCTCCTCCTATTTCTTCTTTCTGCCTTCTATCCTGGCCTATTCTTTCTCCTGCCTGGGTATTGACCATTCTGCTCTTTATTAGACCAATCAAGTGTTTTAGACAGGCAAAGTAACACAGCTTCACAAGATTTCAACAAATGAAACATAAAAGAATGCAACACATCTTTGCATTATTAAACAAATGGTCCACTGCATAAACAAATGTCACACATCTTCAATCAATATTCTACAACAAGGGTAGGTACAGTCTGTTATGGTGAGGAGGTCATGGAGGCAGAAATTTGAGGCAGCTGGCAATATCACATCCTCATCCATGAAGCATAGAGAAATGAATACTGGTGTTTGGCTTCCTTTCTCCTTTTTATTCAAATCAGGACCCCAGTTCATGGGATGGTATCATATATAGTCATGATTTTTGGTAGCCATTACACACCAGGCACTATTCTCATCCTATGAGATAATAGCACTGACTAGAAAGGAAATAATAAGCTCACTCTTATGGAACATATATTCCAAAGAGGAGCAACTGATAATAAGCAAATTGATGGGTGAGACAGTATAAAAACAAGAAAAAAATTAAGAAGAGATGGGAAAGCAAAGGAACCCCTCACTGCAGAGTCTAGTTGAAGTCTTTCTTGTCAGTTGCACTAAGAATTCCAGCACTATTAACAAAATTTTCTGGTGGTGTTTCTGTGTGGTGCACCAGAAGACCACAGTAAGGTTTCTACTCAAATTCAACTGGGTGTGCCAGTGAATTCATTGGGTGCATTTGGAGAAGCGTGAATGGAATTACAGGAGCATGAATGACCTCTGAACAGCTGCATCATCTTAAAACCCCACTCCATCATGGAATCTACATTACAGTGTCTCCGTTTCAGTTAGCCTTCCATTTCCTATACTCTAGCATCTCTCAAGATAATTTTCAGCTGGTTAGCAAGATGGAGTGGTAGCTGAAATCCTTAGTAAGGGTTCTGTGGACATCCCTTTTTCTAATGGAGAGTGTCAATAACTACTCTATTATTGTTACCAGGGATCAAGCTATTACTGTATTTTTTTTTCTGCTTATTCTGTTGCCATGGTTAGCAGGAAAAGGTTATCTCTATTTCAAGATTGCATTGATTGTGTTTTGCCCAGAGGAAAATGCCATGCTACAAGTGGTGAGAGTGCATATGCCTATGGCCAAAAGCTGCAGCATGAGGAAAGGACAGAGGCAGGGAGTCAATCATCCAGGGCATCACATGTTATACCAAATATTCACTTTTCATCCTGACTGAAATAGCATGAATACTATAGGACTTCAAACTGGGAGAAATGTTTGTACTGTGAGTATTGAGAGCCAGTACATAGTCTTATTTTCCCCTCTGGCTATTACGAAAGTGAAATGTCTTGGTCTATTTACAAGGCTATGTAAGAAGATACGAAATGCAAAAGTAGGTTGCACCTGTTGTTTCCCAGGAAATTCCCCTTCAGTTTTACTTAAGCTTATCATCAATGTAAATGGTTTCAAATTCAATGTTGCTGCCTTGTTTGGGTTGATCCTGTCCCATGCCATCTCTTCTTTCATTAAGCATGGAGTGGTATAAGGGCAGGGAATGCATTTGCTGAGTTCTTCAGAAATAACAAGATAGGTTTCTTATTAGAATAAGATAATATTTCTCCCAGGTTATTTACGTTATGTCACTTAATCAATGGTTACCTGAGTCTTTTCTTTGGCATTGCATTTATTTGTTAAGAATACGTTATGATTTCTCAAGAAATGTTCAGGAGAGAGGACTTCCCTCATCAATTCTGAGTATAGCACAACCAGCTCATTAGGCGTCTCTGCTACTTCAATACCTTCCAAACTAATTAAGCTTCTCTCAATATATTATCCACGTTCACATAAGCAGCTTCTCTAAGATCCACGGTAATACATCTGTGGAATGTCTGTGGCATTGAGAGTGCCCCTGTCTTTCTGCTCCATCATTCTCCATATTATCTTTAATCTCCATACTATCTTATTATCTTTTGACTGACTGGATTCGAAACACATTTCCTTTTGAAGTTAGACTCATGTATGGCTGCCTTTACGTGTTGTGCACATGTGCAAACTAGAGAATTTATACCTTTGTGCAAACAAGAGCTACTTATTTCTCTTTCCAACTTAGCTATACTGGTTACTGAAAAGTGTTCGGATTTGACTTCTAATGATTGACAAATGACTGAATTATCTCTATTTCCAATATAGGAAAATACATTGTTTTACATTACATAGTCCCACAAGTTTCTTCACAGACATCCATGAGCCACCATCCTTGATATATTTCCATCTACTCTTATTATCTTCTGCACTCATAACCTCATTTCATCTTTACCGCACTGTCTCTACTCCAGTGTCAAAGCCTAACCCCAGACGCGAGGGGTTGTTCAAACCTCCGGACATAGACAACATTTAGACTAAGTGTGATTAGCCCTAACTCATGGCTGTGTAGAAAGAAAATGAGTCAGTTGTTTAGGCAGAATCCAACAAATTAACTCAGTCCCCACACAGAAGAGATAGAAACAATGTACTCCCATTTCACACCAGAACACAGATAATGTGTAGAAAGAAGTTTTAAGTATCAGATCTCCTTCAAAAGGTTCTCTAAGTTCTGGGTGTACTACTCAATCATCACTAGTGTGGAATAGAGCGAGACAACCAAGGACATAATTGCCAGCTCTCTACACACACAAGGTCCAAACCCACTTCCAGACCTCACATAAAAGGTTTCATTTTGAGTGCTGGGACTTGAAATACAACCTTAAGACTTTGTTGTTGTTTTAACTTAACTCCACTTTGGCACTTTCTGTCCATTTGTTCCAGTAGACCTCAAGAAGTAAAAAATGAGAAGAACCTAAGACTACTAGTGCTGAGTCAAATTCCAACTGGTTGTTTTGTCCAGATATAAATTCCACCACATAGTTTCTATTTCATCATATAGTATAAATGATTTGGAGGATACAGTTGCTAGAAAAAATCCTGGCTCTAACCCCATAACATTTTCTGTCCATTGTCCTTCTTTGTAATCCTTGGACTAGAGATAACAAAGAGCTCATTAAAGCCCCATGTCCTGGCTTCATAACAAAGGATGTTTTACAGGCTGTCTTTTCCTACCCAATTTGAATTTCTGAAAGCAATAGAAGAAATGTGACTGTTCAATTTTAATTTTGTTTTTCTGACAAGATGGTCTAGCTGTGCATCTCAGGCTAGCCTTGAACCTGAAGCCCTCTTGCCTTGGCCACCTGAGTTCTGGAATTAAAGGCCTGGACCAACACAGAGGCTAGTGGTACTCTCCAGAATACTAGGTATGTCAGCTTCCCTTGAGATGCTCATACACATCTTGCTTTTGTATTCAATTCTCTGATTCTCATGTCTCCATTTTCCCTGTCATTCACTGCTCATGCTGACCCTTTTTCTGTTAAGGTACTTCCATAGCATCCTTTGAGGCCAAAGTCAATTCACTTTGTTTGAAAGTTATGGTGATTTGAATGAGAAATATCTCCTCTAGGCTAATCGCTTGGTCCCCAGCTGGTGGTGCTGTTTGGGAAAGTTATTGAAACTTCAGAAGCTGGAGGCTTGCCAGAGGGAAAGATCAGTAGGGGCAGGCTTTGAGAGTTTATAGAGCACCCCCCCTCTTTCTCTCTGCCTCATGGTTGTTGTCTGCCCATGTAACCAGTGCTTCTCAATCTGTGTCATGACCTCTTTGGGAGTCACATATCAGATATCCTGTATATTAGATTAGATATTTACATTAGGATATGTAACAATAGCAAAATTTTGTAAAGTAGCAATAAAATAATTTTTACATTTGGAAGGTCACCACAACATGAGGAACTGTATTAAAGGGTCACAGCATCAGGAAGGTTGAGAATCACTGATATAAGCTCTCAGCTACTGTTTCAACAATATGCCTCCCTGCCTTCTGTCATGCTTCCCATCATGATGATCATGGACTCAGCATCTGAACTGTAAGCACGCTCTCAATTAAACTCTCTGTTTTACAAGATGTCTTCAGTCAAGGTGCTTCTTTACAGCAACAGAAGAGTAACTAAGACATCTTTGGCCATGAGGTTTTACCACAGCAACAGGAAAACAAATGATACAGATGTCTTCTGAGACATATTCTCTTCTTTCTTTTGAAAGACCCCCACTATGCATATTGCCTGTTTGAACTTCTCTTGCCAACTTGCCAAGGTCAAGTTATGGGAAAAGTACAGGAGGGAACCAGGTGCTGCTCTCATTTGACGCCAACCAGATATCTGTGGTCTGCAGCTTGGACCAAAGCAAGGTCAGCAGGACGGTATCTGGGATGCTGAGAGAGTCATAACTGAATTCTTTGTGCCCAACCCGAATAACCAACTGTCCCTGGTTAACTACAATCACTTTATTTAAATGGAACAATGAAATCCCTGTAACCATGCTTCTGCTTCTGTAAGCCTGCTTCTTGCCACCCCAACCCTATATAAACTGCCGAAGGACTCCCGAAGGACTGAAGCATCCACAGGTACCTGTGTAAACAATAAATAGCCTCTTGTGCTTGCATCCAGTGGTCTGGTCTCGTCTCTTGGGGCAAGGGCCTCTCCTTGACAGACTCCGAACTCTTGGGGTCTTTCACTTTTGAGTAATGACTTATTTCACAGTCTGACTGCTATGCTCTAAAGAATCCTCCCCTTAACTAAATTTATGCATTGACAATGAACTCCCATGTTAGTATGAAGATTCAATGCCTTTAAGAAGTATTATGAACAAACGAGATCAAAACCCTTATAAAAGAGATATGAGGGAATGACCTTGACCTTTCCACCATGTGAGGCTGTAGCATGATGCCATCTTTGAAACAGAGTGCAAATTCTTGTGAGGCTCTTGATCTTGGGCTTTCCAGCCCTGTAAACTGTAAGCAATAAATTGCTGCTATTTACAAATTTCTCAGTCTGAGATTTTTTTGCTGTAGCTGTATGAACAAAATAAGACATCAACCTTTCCATACTATTACTAATAAAACTCAGCCTGCGTATCAGGAGCAGGCACTGTGGTAAATATGTTGTACACATTAGCTCACAGAAGGAAGCCCTGTGAGCAGGATATTACAGAAGCAACCACAGCTTAGAGAGGTGAGGTAGTTCTCCCCAGACAATTCTACACAGATGTATCTCCAAGCGTTTTTGATGTCTTGAGTGTTTTGGTGTGCACTCATCACGTTTGTTTTTGAAACAGGGTTTCAAGTGTTCCAAGATGGCCTCTAAAACACTGTCACTGAGGGTGATCTGGGTCCTCCTGCTCTACCTCACAAGTGTTGGGATTAAAGGCAAATGCCACCACATCCAGTTTATGGAGTGCTGGAAATGAACCCAGGCCATTGACCCATCTAATTTTTGTTCTTAATTAGGTCCAGAGGAAATTTAAGACATCATTGCATATTGAAGTAATTAGGTATTAATATTATTAACTTGTTTCTCAAATTTTAATGACAAAAGAAACATGGCTATACATAGAAACACCCACTGCTCTCTCTCTCTGAAGAATAGGATGGAGTAGTGGTGTGCATGCCTTCTACTTAAAACAGTACATTAAAAGAAAGGGCTGACTAGACGGATAGCTGGGAAGCCAGCATGGGACTGACTCAGGCCCCCCTGAATATGGGTCTCAGCCAGAAGGACTGAGCAGTCTAAGAGACCTCAGACAGTGGAACCAGGATGTATTCCTGGTGCACAAAAGGACTTTGCGAACATATCCCCCATGAGGGATAACTGTCTTAATCTAGAGACAGGAGAGAAGCCCTACTTCACATGACCTGTCAGATCTATATGACCCCAACTGGATGGCATTCCCCTACATATGGAATTGGGGTGGGGGGAATGGGAGGGGAGGGTGGTTAGAGTACATGTGAGAGGGCAGAGAGGGTAAAAGGGAAGGAAGGAGGGAGAGAGGGAGGGAGGGAGGGAGGGATTAAGGGAGGGAGAGGAAACTGGGATCGACATGTAAAATAATAAATTAAATTTAAAAAAACTGCTTTGGCTCCAAAATTTAAGTTCAAGGACAAGTTACTGGGGAAAAGGATTTCTATTTTTGTTTCCACAGAAAATGAAAAGATGTGGATTCCTTCCAGACTAATGTGGTTTGATCACACCAGACCGCCTGAAACAGAGTACAAGCTGATCCTACATTCGAAACAGCTGGACAAAACAGCCCTACAGACTACAGCCAGGATTTCTGAATCTTCTTCGAATCCCCCATGACAGCGCCCCTTACCAGCAGGAAGGAGTTTGGAAAGAACAACGCCCAAATTCCCAAATATTGTGTATAAATGTTTGTTTTCATTTAATTGGACTTTGTTATATAAAATAAAATAAAATAAATTAATAAAAAAAAGAAAGAAAAGAAAAGGCTGACCTTCCTGGCAGTGTTACCTTCTTGTTTTTTTTTGTTTTTTTTTTTTGTTTTTTGTTTTTTGTTTTTTTTTTCAACATCCAAAGTTTCTTTAATAACAGATCCAGGGTTAGTTTTTGTAGCCCGGCTGGCTCTTCTGCCTCTGGCACGTTCGAACTTCTGGCCCTTGGAATGGAATACGGTTTGGTATGGTTGTGTGGGGTTCCTGGGACCTTGCCAAAATGCCGGTACACCTCCCGGCCCTTTCGAGGTCCAGACAAGACCACAATGCCACGGCCCTTGGGAGACTCCAGGGCTAGCTGGTCAAAGGTGATGCTCTTACCCCCAGCCTTCGGGATGCGACTTTGGGCCCGGCTGCTCACCCTCAGTGCACACACCTTCAGCTTGGGCACTTCGAGAATGCGCACATCATCTGTGACTGTCCCCACAACCACAGCTGTTTTGTTTTCTCGTCCAGGAAGCTTCATCTTTCAGATCATCCAGGACAGGGACAGAGGTGATCAGTTAGTTAGTGTGACTCATAAAGAACCTTTTCAGCACAACCTGATTGAAGGTGGAGTTGGTTCTTCTGGCCAGAAACCTGTACAGCTTGACTAGCAGACACATGTAGATGTCCTGGCTCTTGGGCTCCTTGCGCTGAACCTTTCAGTCCTTGTTATGTCGAATGTCTACACCCATGATGGTGCCTCCTGCCCGGCCAGGTCCAGAAAAACAGACCTCCAGTGTTACCTTCTTTAAGGAACTTTGAGAGTGACCATTGGGAGTAGTGGTACAAGCATTTAATCCCAGCACTCAGGATGCAGAGACAGGTGGATCTCTATGAGTTCAAGGCCAACTTGATCTAAAATGTAGGTTCTACATGATGAGTTCCAAGACATCCAGAGCTACATTGTTGTTAATGACCCTGCACCAAGTGAAGAATAAAACTCAGGGATCATCTTTTGTTGTTGTTGGCTTTGTTTGGTTAGTTTTTTGAGACAAGATTTCTATGTATAACAGAGCCCCAGCTGTCCTGGAACTCACTTTGCAGACCAGGCTAAGATGTGTGCCACCATGCCTACCTAGCTAGTCAAAAACATTTTTTCAGGCAGTGGGTCAAGATTTTCAGAGACTGACCTCGTAGTTTGTTCTTCTTAAACATTTAAGCATAGTAAAACTTGAGGAACAGGTTACCACATGACTGTTATCACAACCATGTTTTAGGCATAGCTACATAGAATCTCTCTAGCAAAATAACAAAACACCTCTGATCTTTACAATAAGAATAAGTTCTATTGGCTGATAAACAGAGCTAGGGATAGGGCCTAGAGAGGAAGGATTTGTAATAAGCATAAGGATAGATTCTATTGGTAGAAGATGTAAAATACATGAGGCCTCTTTTATAGGGATGACTTCTAGCCACAGAGCCCAGGATTAGAGCCTAAACAATGCTCAGGATATTGGGGACATTCAGGTGGAGGCTGGCTCCTAATAAAATAGCAAAGGATCCCCATCTCCAAGTTGTTTGACCACTTTCACTGGCATTCCAGGTGACTAAGCATCATTCATTTCCTTCCTTTGAAGAAAATGAGCCTGCATGACTGACAATCCTGGTTTATCCAAAGTTTAACCTAAATTGCTCTTCTTGTACATAGTGAGACACTGTCTCAAAAAAAATCTTATTTCTGTTAAGCAAAAGGGAAATAATGTTTCTTCATCACACACACAAATACAGGATAAGCATACACCTGAAATATCCAAGGATCACAAGGCATCCACTACCCCCATTTCAGGCAGAGTCACTGGTATTCTAGATTGGATGAGAACAGCAGTCTAGTATGAGGGAGGGCTGTCTCAGAAGAACCCCATGACTAGGAGGCAGTGAGAAACCAGTGACATTAGAGAAGACTGTACCCACATTTCAGTCTGGAAAAAAATACAAAAAAAAAAAAAAAAAAAAAAAAAAACAAGCTGTAGGCATCCTCTACTAAATCACATTGCATTGATTTTTAGCTCCCCAAAAGGCTTCATACAAAAACAAAATATGAATTTTACATGGTTGATATTTAACTTTCCAATAAGACATTTAGCTTGGCTTAATTATAATCTGATTTAATTTTTTTTAAATAGCAATGCTTCACTTGGAAAAAAAGTCATATCAGAATTACATATAAATTCTCTGCTGGCATCTAATTCATCTCAGAGTTCAAATGTAGGATTATAAAATTTTAGACATTTTAAATTTTTTTATTTCTTTCATGTATATGAGTATTTTCCCTGCATGTTCTATGTGCTATGTGTGTACAGTGCCTCTGGAGGCCCCAAAAGTGTGTTGGAACCACTAGGATTGGAGTTACAGGTGAGTTGTCATGTGAGTGTTAAGAATTGAAGTCAGATCCTCTACAAGGGCAACAGGTGCTTTTAACCACAGAGCCATCTCTTCAGCTGTCTTGAGAGACACCTTACACATATTCCAGTTGTTTATTTGCTATGGACTGTATGTGACACTCTTAGCACAAAGCATTACATAAAACACTTGGAAGAAGGCATGGCTTTTCTTTTGTATTATGAAAAGCAATTAAGAGAAATATCAAAGCCTAAAGTTTGAGGTCACTTTTGTAGCTGTGGTATTAGAAGAGCAATATTTGTTTTCTGCTTCAATAGGTACTAACCCATTATCATGCAGTTTGAGGCTAGGATTGATTCTATCTGAAGTAAATAGAAAAATGGTTTCCAGATAGGGCAGCCAGGTGAATTTGAATTTCAGACTCATGACAAAATTTTTCATACAAATATTTCCCAAATATTACACAGCACATACTTGCACTAAAAGTGTGTATGTGTGTGCATGAGTGTGTGTGTGTGTGTGAAGTTAAAATGTAATTGTATCTATATTTTATCTAGCAATGGCATTTCAGAGAGGAATTTGAAAGGATCCTAAAAAGGTCAAAATATTCCTAAAACATCTCCATATGCTGGGTGGTGGTGGCACACACAGTTATTCCCAGCACTCAGGAGGTAGAGGCAGGAGGATCTCTTTGAACTTGAGGCCAACTTGATCTACAAAATGAGTTCCAGGACAGCCAGGGCTACACAGAGAAAACCTGTCTCAAAAAACAAACAAACAAATAAATTCATGTAAGATCTTTTCTTATTAGTTTTTTTTTTAAATTAGCATATCTGAGTTTCTTTCTGGTGCTTTCATACATACTTTGTCCTTTGTTCTGCCTCACTCCCTGCCTTAGTCCCTTGCCCCACTCTTGCTGATCCCCTCCCCCTCAACTAGCCACTCTTCTGCTTTCATATCTTTTCCTCTCATTTGAATCTCTGTCTAGTTTGGTGACCTATACCCACATTCACACATATATAAACACAATATAAAAATTAAAACCTAGGATCCACTAAGAGCAAATGTGACATTTGTCTTTCTGAGCCAGAGTTACCTTGCTGAACATAATAATTTCCAGCTACATCTATTTTCCTACAAATGTCATGAATTCATTTCTCTTTATGGCTAACTAAAATTTTATCATCTTTACATAGCACATATACTTTCTTTACCCATTCATCTGCTTATGACTCTCTAGGCTAAATCTTGTTGTAATGCATGTTTAATGCTTCATTGTTGCCCATGGCTAAAGAATGAAGCAACCCAAGATCTTAATGTGTTGTCTTTACTATTAATGTTTCTCTCTTCCTTAAAGTAAGTATTGACTTCTTCCTGAAATGAAGAAAGAAAAGCTCTCCTAGTAAAAGTCATAACACCATGGGGTGCAGAGGTCCAAGGACAACTTTCTATAACTCCAATTCCAGGCAATCTGTTCTTCTCTTCTAAATTCTTCTGGTACTGCAGGCATGTGGCACATGCAGAGAAAACACTTGTACACTTAATATAAAAATAAATGTATTTTAATGTATAATCCAATATGCAACCTGTACTGGCTAGTCAACTTGACACAAGCTAGAGTCATCTGAGAGAAGGGAATCCCAATTAAGAAAATGCCTCCATAAGATCAGGCTGTATGCAAACCTGTAGGGCATTTTCTTAGTGATTGATTGGGGAGGACCCAGCCCATGGTGCCATCCCTGGGCTGATTGATGTTCCTGGGTTCTATTAGAAAGCAGGCAGAGAAAACCATGGGAAGCAAGCAAGATCTTTCCCACCAGCCTGGTCCCACAACTGTGTCTGCTCCAAATGAACACTCAGAGACTTATATTAATTATGAAACTGTTGGCCAATTACTAGGGCTTCTTATTGGCTAGCTTTGTCTTAATTACTAACCCATTTCTATTAATCTAAGTATTTCTACATGGTCTTCTCTTACTGGAGAATGCCTCACTTATGTCCTCTCTTCCTGAGAATCACATGATGATTGCTACTCTGCCTACATTTCCCAGAATCCTCCTCATCTCCTAGACCCACCTATCTTGCTGCCCTACTTACTGGCCACAGTGTTTTATTCATCAACCAATAAAAGAAACATGTACAGAAGACATCTCCCATCAGTAATCCATGAGAAGCAAGCTATGAAAATCAAGCCAGTAAGCAGCTCCCCTCCATGGCCTCTGTATAAGTTCCTGCCTCCAGGATCCTATCCAGTTTGAGTTCCTACCTTGCCTTCCCTCAGTGGACTATGACTCAGGATATGTAAGCTAAATAAACTCTTCCCCAAGTTCCTTTTGGCCGTATGATTAATCACAGCAGTAGTAACCATAACTGAGACACAACCCTGAGAAGGAAGATATAATTCTATGTGTTCTGGTGTAGGATTAGCTCCTGTGTCATAGGATTATCACTGGGGAGGGAGCTGCATTTGAGTGGTTGGGCAGTACAATGTAGAAAGGAGTCTCTTTGCTCTCTACTGATTTACACACCTTGAATTTTATGTAATGTGCCTATGTTATCAATTCAAAGACAAGAATATTCAAACAAACAAGAAAGAAAGCAAAACAAAACTATTTCTTTCCAAGCAAGAATAAACCAACTTCTTAAGAGGTGCCTAGAATTTGTGCGGCATTACTATATTGGCTTACATGATTCCACCTGACTTTTTAAAAGAGGTTTGGGAACCTGGGGATGAACTATTGACTCTGCCCTGATGAAATGCCGCCAATATTTTTAAAGCGGGAAAAGATTGTCTTTCTATGAAGGTCTAGATTTTATCTGTAAGAGAATGTGCATATTTTTATATGCTCTTAACACTTTATTTGGTTTAACTCTTTTCACTTTCAATATATTCCTCTTCAAACACACACACACACACACACACACACAGAGAGAGAGAGAGAGAGAGAGAGAGAGAGAGAGAGAGAGAGAGAGCTCCCAGAAAAAGAAAAAGGAAAAGTCCCTTTGTGACTAACAGGTGTCTGTATTGATCTGCATCTCCCCACCCACATTTTCAGTGGTGGCTTCCATTACAAAAACCAATTCTCAGGCTATCAGGAAAGGCATAATTCAAAAGACCAAGTTCTTCATCAACTTTAATGTTCAATCCAAGCAGAGCCAATGCAACAT